CATTTTAGTTCAAATTTAACCAATCATGCAACTTCATGTTATGAGCTTTTCCAACAATTTGTGACCTTCTTTCTAGACTCAAAATGTCATTTGGAGCAAGTTTGATGTTGTAAGTTTTTCCATTTGAGGCCTCCTTGTATGAGTTTTGGACATAGGTTAAAATGACCTGTAATTTACAAATGACCAAAATACCCTTTGCTTGCCAAGACCATAAGTTGAGTTCCACACATAATATGGAGGCATACTATACCATTCTAGAAAGCTAAGACAATGAGGAACAATTCTTATGTTGACCAGAAATTCATTTGAAATCTCCTTGAGGGGTAAAACTAGCTTGGAAGTTAAGTCACTTTCACAGACAAAATTTCAGATACCTCAGATGACCTGTAACTTGTAAGGACCATAACTTGAGTTCTATAAATCTCCTTAATGTCTTCCACCACTCAAATTAAAGGTCTTGAGATCCTCTACAAGTTTCATGTTGGCCAAGGATCCATTTGAAGCTAGAATTTTGACTTATCTTGCTTGGAAATTTAACCTAAACTAGGGGATTTTACACAGAAACCCTAATTTAGAATCTCCTCTTCTCCTTGATTTCTCTTGAATTCTCCTTGGCATATCTCCATATCCTTCTTTATATGTCCAATGATGAACCCCACATCTCTCCACTAGACTTGAATGCCCCTTAAATCAGTCAATTGACCTAGGGTTGACCTAGGGTTGACCCAGATGAAACCCTAGTTGACTGCCTTCAGCTATAGCTCTTGTGCTCTCATCAATGACTTGTCTCCTTCTTCAAATGACTTTCTAAGTCTCTCATAATGTCTAGATACTCTCCATGCCTTCAACTCATAGCTCACAACCCTCTTGTTGACCCTCAGATACCCTCAGCTAGGAGATGGACTCAAGGCTTGATCTGCTGAACTCTTTGCTTTCAAATTCTTTCCTGATGACTTGAATGAGATTGAATTGGGATGATAACCTCTTGATAGGCTTCTAGAGATGAGAATAATGATTGGTCCCCCTGTTATATGACTTGCTATGCTTATGCTATGCAGATGATTAGACTATGCACATGACTCTATATGCAAATGTTAATGATATTGAGACATAAACCAAGTGAATAAGGTTGAGCAAATTTTAGGGTGCAACACATATGTCCTTCAATTGCGTTAGATATGAAGACACCTGAAGAAGTTTGGTCGGGACATCCACCAGATATCGACAAGCTGAGAGTATTTGGATGCGTGGCTTATGCTCACATTAGGCAAGACAAGGTCAAACCTAGAGCTTTGAAATGCATGTTCATGGGATACCCTGAAGAAGTCAAAGCTTATAGGCTATGGCGCCTAGAGCCAGGTCACAGGAGGTGTATCACTAGTCGAGATGTAGTTTTCAATGAAGCTTAAATGACCTTCAAGAAAACTGATGATGCTGACGAAGAGCTGGAAAAAGGAGAAATTCATGTTGAGGTGGAGCACGTTATGCCTTTGTTTCCTTAGGAAGGGTCACCGTCCACTCAGTCAATGATGGATCATTAAATCTATATTTTATAGGGAGACGTGGTCCTACTACTGGCTTTGACTTCTCTCTGTCCAAGAAATGTCTTTTCCCATGTTTCCTATATATGGGCGAGAGGAAGGCATTATGGGGTGATGCGATACCTCCTTGAAGGCGACATATGCTCATTGCCCTTCCTAGAGGTCACACAGTTCCCACCCTTGCTAGATCTTTTATAAATATAACACTACAATGATAATATATTTGGATATTTTAGTTTTTGTGTATCATTTTCATAACATTTGTGTTACACCATTACTAGTAATTCATATGTACCTTTTCATACTTGGATTCTCCAGCACTTTCCATGCATATCCGCCTAGTCATATGTTTTGACCTACACTGGGGATATGCCATATGCTTCTGCATTCACCCCACCCAGAGGGAATTAGGTGACAAAGCCCTCTCAAGTGTATCTTGACTGCTTGGTAGCAGAGAATATACACTTTCACACATACACTGATCAGCGTCAAACGTGCCCCTTAAACGACATAATCTTCCACTCTTCTCCCGCTATGGCACGCAGAGAAATAAATGTCATGTATGATGATTTCTTTAATTATCTGGTACCATATGAGTCACAAAGTATCCTAGCTCCTAATGAATGGGGTGCTACATACGGCTACATTCAGTGGTATTTTAGGTTGTCACATCCTTATATGACACCTGATGCTCAGGGAGATCTACCTAGGCTAGCTCATTAGGAGATACTAAAGGAGGATCAGGTTAGGGGAAATTATGTTGTTGACGTGTTAACTAGATATCGATGTATCATAGATATTACGCAGATGGGTATATACAAAGGATTATTTCTGGAAGGCTCTAAAGCAAGGGGCATTTTGGATGCCATCCTTGATGAGGCAAAACGACATTGTAGTACGGGAGACAACGTCGAAATAAAGGGGCCCGGGTCTGGCATATACAGTAATATATATTATTTGTATTAAGAAAATTATTATCGTTTGTAATTGATGGGATATCATGAGGGGGGAAGCATTCATATTGGTTCAAACACTCACCTAAAGGTCAAAGACTCACCCAAACAAGTGATAAAGACACCATATATTCACCCAAAATCTTAAGGTGATAGATGTATGAGTCCTCTTACTTACAAAATGCTTAACCTCCATTTTTCTAAGAAATGTGAGACTTAGAACTCACACTTATTTCTCAACACAACTCACAATTGTTCCCTAATAATCTCTCCCTCAAGTGTGAATCCATCCACTATGCTCCCCCTTAAGCAGAAGCTTTCGTCCACATACTTGTACTGCCATTGAGAGACACTCTTAATCGTCATGGGCACTTCAACGGAACACGCCGCCTAAACACCATGTCAGAAAGACTTTCGACACTCCCCCTTAAGCAGAAGCTTTCATCCACATACTTGTACTGCCATTGAGAGGCACTCTTAATCGTCATGGGCACTTCAACAGAACAGGCCGCCTGAACACCATGTCAGAAAGACTTTCGACACAAGGAGTCGGTCCCTTACTCAAACCACGACTCTGATACCACTGATGAGATATCATGAGGGAGGAAGCATTCACATTGGGTCAAACACTCACCTAAAGGTCAAAGACTCACCCAAACAAGTGAGAGAGACACCATATATTCACCCAAAACCTTAAGATGATAAGTGTATGAGTCCTCTTACTTATAAAGTGCTTAACCTCCACTTTTCTAAGCAATGTGGGACTTAAAACTCACACTTGTTTCTCAACACAACTCACGCTTGTTCTCCAACAATAATTTATTTTGACTTCATTATGGATTTCAGATTTATTTATTTATATATGGCATTTTCATATTATTTGATAAGTGTATGGTTTAATTTATATAAAATTTAATATGAATATATAATTGTAATACATCATCAATTACATCAGTGTATATCTAAAACAAAGTCAAAATTTACTGTTTGATGTGAATGTGAAAATAGATCTTCGTATTATGTCTAGGGTGAATATAAAGTTGCATCTCCGAATCAATTTATGTCAAAATGAGTGTGTTTTAGTTAGGAATGCATGAGTTGTATATAAGGTGAATCCAGAAGTGCATCTCCAAACTAAATATTGTGAAAAAATGGAGCGAGACTCGCTTTAAATGAGGTGAAAAGATGGAAATGCATATTCGTATTTTGTCTTAGGCGAATACGGAGTTGCATCTCTAGATCAGTTTATGTAAAAATGAGTGTGTTTCAGTTAGAAATGCATGAGGTGCGTATAAGGTGAATTTGAAAGTACATCTTCGAACTAAATATTGTGGAAAAATAGAATGAAACTCACTTTAAAACTTATTATGGTGTGATCAGGATGCGTCCCAAAATACACATTTAAAATCTAAAAGGCATTAAGGGTATTTTTTCATCATTTAGAAAAAATAATTCCTTTATGAAAATTGAATTGAATCCTTAATTACACCGACATTACTTTGGTATGTATAACTTGATAGGGGTGTATCTTAAAAGAAAATAAATTCATTCAAATCACTAAATTCACGCATTTAGATCATTAACGATCATTAGATTAGAATTTGATGACTCAATAATATATATATATATATATATATATATATATATATATATATATATATATATATATATATATATATATATATATATTAATTTTAATTTTTTAATTTAAAATATCAAACTTAAATCTAAATCGTTTCATCTTGATCGAACAACCTCTTATACTCTAAATATATTGTTTCTTAACTACCCGTCTAAATATATTGTTTCTTAACTACAAGAAAACCTAGTGGATCTTAAAATGTCTCAACCTGACATTTCATCATTAATTATATTTTGATTTTTTTTTAATTAATAGTTTTCTAAATTGTGTTAATTTAATTTATTTTAAATTTTTTTAATTCATTTGAAAAAGTTTAAACGGTGTTGAGCAAATCCGAACACTAATACATTAGTGATTGACGGCAAACTTAAAAAGAAGAATTACATATTGACCCTCCATATTATAATTTTGAAAGAGTTTAAACCACTTAATATTAAATCTAAATCTGATCCCTAAATCAGATTAATCAACTCAGTGAACAAATTAGAATATTTCACCTAAAAAATAGGTGAAAAAGCGAATAATCAGTTTTTATTTAAAAGCATACTCACTATTACTACATTCTTCTGCCGACAATTATTATATTATTTGAATCAACAATTATTTAAATTTTCAAGTTTATAATAAAATATAAAAAATAAAAAACAAAAAACCTTAAAAAGCTTATCATATTTAACAGCATATATACGCGACATGAATAAGCACACGCTACTGCAGCCGAACCCTGAAACTCAACTTGTCCCCTCTCTCTCTCTTTCTCTCTCTGAAACCATAGATATAAAGCGATAACAGAATCTACATTCTTCCATTCCCTTATTCCATCTACAATCCCTCACACTTGTTACCGTGGCGAGAATCTTCAGAATGGTAACTGCTAACTCTTTCTCTATCTCAAATCCAGATTAAATTTCATTATTATGATTTTTCCTAATTTTGATGTGGTTTACTAATTAGGGTTTTTGATATCTGAATGTGATTTCAGGTGGTAGCTGCTGGCTCCAAGTTCAATTTGAGAAGAGGGAACAGTGGTTCCTGTTCTTCTCATAATGTTGTTATCAATGACTATAATAATAATAGTAATAACTGTGATGGAGAGTTTTCTAGGATTAATAAAAGTGGTTGCTTTTCATCAATGGTGGATGTTGTTGATAAAGACTCTTCTTGTGTTTCGTTCACTACCTTTAATATCCTTGCTCCTATTTACAAACGGATTGATCCACAGGTTTTGTTTTGTTGTTTTTCTGTTTTTTTTTTTTTGTAGTTTATGTTACGTCTTAAAAGTGTTTTTTTTTGGAGTGTTTGGTTCTGATTTTGTGTGTTTTGTTTTGAACAGAATCAAGGACTTAGAGAAAGTGATTTCAGATCATTTTGGTTGGCTAGGAATCAAAGGATTCTTGATTCATTGCTTTCTGAATCTTCTTCTATTATGTGCTTACAGGTACTGATTTTGTCCTTTCTATTTAGTGGTGGAGAGAGGGTAGTAGTGTCTCTTATTGGTTGTGAAATAGTCCATATATGTTTTAAAAAACTGTTGCGGTGGCATAAAGGCTTTCGCGATTTTGTTCGGTAGAGGTGTTGTGACAGCAGTGATTGCTTTAAAACGGCCGCTGACCGCTTTTTAAAACCTTATATATTATTGAGTGGAGCTATCATGATAGTTCAATCTACATTATTCATTTCATGTTTGTCATGGTGTTTATTGATTTGTTTATCTTGTAGGAATTTTGGGTTGGAAGTGAAGAACTAGTTCACATGTATGAGAAGAGACTTGGGGATGCTGGCTACCAACTCATTAAGCTTGCTCGAACCAACAACCGTGGAGATGGTAAGAGTGTGAGAATGACTTTCATTGTCTTGCTAATTTAAACATTTTGGATTTCCAATTGAAACACTATTTGCTTCCTTATTGGTGATTAGTGCCAAATTGCTAATGCTTCATGTCTTTTTGTGGGATTGTTTTGACTTTTGAGCAAGGTTTTAAATTGCAATTGCAGTCACCGTTATGTCATTGTCCATGATACTGTAGGAAACTGAGACAAATATAGTTGGTGTGGCCGCAGACTGCAATTTAAAACTTTGGTTTTGAGGTTTTTTCCACATCAGAATCCAAAATCTATGTTTCTCCTAGTATTGTTGTTCTATGGCTCAAAATTTGACATATATTTTGCAGGTCTGCTGACTGCTATACACAAAGAACGTTTAAGTATCATAAATTATCGAGAATTGCTTTTCAATGATTGCGGTGACCGTGTTGCTCAGTTGTTACATGTTCGATCAGTTAATCCCATTTTACAAAACCAAAAATACAGTGTTCACCAAGAGTTTCTGATTGTGAATACACACTTGCTTTTTCCTCATGATTCAAGTCTGTCTATAGTGAGATTGGACCAGGTACGCGAATTCGCAGCAATCCAAAATTCTTTCTTCTTGTTCATTTTTTTGAGATCTTTCAATTCTAAAATTGGTCTTTCATTTGCCTTATAGGTTTATCAAATATTACAATATGTGGAATTGTATCAGAGAGAAAACAGGCTCAAACCGCTGCCTATTATTCTATGCGGGTGAGTTTATTGTTGGTTTTCTTGTGAGGTTACTATTGCTACTGAGTCAGATATCCTTATGTTGTCAACTTTATGTTCTATCTAATGCAGCGATTGGAACGGAAGCAAGCGTGGACATGTTTACAAGTTCCTTAGGTCGCAGGGTTTCGCATCATCATATGATATTGCGAATCAGTATACTGATAGTTATGCAGATGCACACAAGGTAAATATCACACTATTAGATTATTGTGCACTACAATTCCTATTGTTTAGAGCATGGTGTTAACAGGTTTTTGTTTTGCTTGAATATCCTTTAAATCGGCAGTGGGTTAGTCACAGAAATCATAGAGGAAATATATGTGGTGTTGACTTCATTTGGCTTTGTAATCCTAACCAAGCGCGTAAACCCTTGAAAACAAGTTGGGCTGAAGCTGTATTTAGTATACTAAAGGTAGTTTCTACTCACCCAATTTTATATATTTTCTTAGGTGTCTTTGTATTTATTTTACTTTGATATACACACGCTATTTCTTTGTTTAAATTTTCTTTTTCCCCTTTTCTTCTGGATTTCAGTTCCAGCTTCGGAAGGTATTATTGTCTGAAGATGACGCATTTACCTTTTTGAAAGGTGACAACTCTGCTGATTCCGTTAAAGCATTTACCTTTTTGAAGGGCAACACCTGTGTTGATGCTGTTACGTATGTTAGGTTCTCTGAAGCACTCCGCCAGGTACTTCATATCTGCTATTATACATACAACATTATTGATTTCCATTGGCATTTACCTAAAATTGATCGAAAAGTCTCACTATCTCATAACTTCTACAGGTTAAGTTGATTGGTGTGCCTTATGGACTATGCTTTCAACAGTTGCAAGATCTATGGAATCAAGCTGATGTAGATGGAAATGGTGTCATCGACTTTGAAGAATTCAAGGTATATGAGTATCTTCACTTTTGGATACACATTGAGCGCATTTACCCCCACTCAAATTTCGATAAGTCGAATGTTATATGAGTATTCCCACTATAACTTCAAATTTAAAATCCTGTCACTGTTTGAATATGCCTAATGCATTGTGCTTGAATGTAAATTTGTTTTTGACAAAGATCATTAGCAACATCAAACACATTCTTTTTCTGCTACAACTATATATTAATGGTTTGATAATTACATATGTACAGCAAAAGATTTGGAATTCTACATGTTCAGAGCATGTATTGGAAAATCTCAATGGATGCATGGAGAATTCTAGTACCGAGCAAGAGCAAGAAGCCATTGGTTTTAAGGTGAAGAATGCGATGTTGTTTCCGCGTGAAATGGAGAAAGGACTTTGGCCTGAAGATTACTCTCTCTCTGATCATGCAAGGTTATCAGTTGTATTTTCACCGGCAAAGATGTCTCGCCCGATGTTATAAAGATTAGCGACGAGTGGTTTACCAATCCAAAGTTGTTGGTCTCTATTACACGTTTTTTCTAGTAGTCATAGGCTATTCTGAAACATTTTTTTTCTCTAAAGTCTGAGAATGCATAAAGTTTATAGCCCAAAAAAAAGTGTTCATTTTTAGAAGTTTGATATGGGAGTAAAAATGAAAATGAGAATTTTATGGATGAGCTTTCAATGCAATTTAACAAATCAAACTAGTAATTTTTCATTTGTATTTTTAACCCCCACATCAAATATCTCATCAGTTTGTCTTGTAAATAATTGTGTGAATAAGTAGTTAAGGGGACATTTTTGGTATGAAGTATTGGTATGCTAATAAATACCTAACAGATGTACCATAACTGTCACCAAGTAATCAATTTTGGTGAGTGTTGGCCATGTTTTTGTTTCCAGGCCACATATTATTAGAATTATCATATATTTTCTGAAGATTACACTGACTCTTACAATCGGTTCCCACATGGAACTCCAAACTATGGTTCAAATTCTAGTTGTTATGCCCTTCCACTGTCACAGTCTTGTTCAACGATTGCAAGTTGTCTTTAGTACATGAGGATTTAAACAAGTTTTCTCGCCCTCAACCTCAGGTTTACACTACACACAAAGATGTGCAACTTAGGATATGATCGTGCCTCAAACACGGTTTCTAGATAGAGCCTCGCATCATCTAACATATTTAAAAATTATTGTTTCACGGTTTTGAGAAAATTACCTCTGAAAAAAATTACTTAATCAAGTTGCGGACTAAGTTGTTGTCTTGAAGATGTTTTATAAAACTGTTCAAAATTATGCAAAATAGACACTCAATCATACAAAATTGTCATATAAATTGAACAATTTCAAGATAACACTAATGTGTAAATATGGAAAGGGAGAGAGAAAAATAGACACTCAACCGAACAAAATACACTAATGTGTAAATATGAAAAGGGAAAGGGAGAGAGAATTAGAGAGAATATGGTGCAAAAGTGGCATTCCTTTCATTAGGGGTATTTTATACAACATTACAACGGACCAATTTAATAAATAAAACAATTTTTAGGTGGTAACCAATTACCACTGGCTCCTAACTAATTTAATAAATAAAACAATTTCTAGGTGGTAACCAATTACCACTGGCTCCTAACTAATTACGAGTCGATATTGACATAGTCTGTTACGATCACTTGAATTACACTTTTTCTTAACAACTTAGTCAAACTGAATTATTGTTGCATTGTAATTTTAGACATATTAAAGAAGGAAATAAAATATTTAACTAAGTTAAGATAAACACTTCAATATTTTTAAAATTATCTTGTTTGCCTTGCCCGTATGGTATTATTAGAATAAATATATAGGTGCAAAATATAATATTAAGACATGTTTTTTAATTGAGTTAAGGATTTGTTCGAATAGTACTATCTGAACAATTTTACAAAAAAAATTGATAAATTTCACATGTGCAATGACATTCTTGACAAGGTTTATAGAGGAAACATTGTTTATCATTAATGTCACAACTTCATTTTCTCCGTTGCACAAATCTTTCATCAAATTCATCGACTATACACCTCAACACACACACAAAGGCATTTCAATGTACTCAGTCTCGCAAGAAAAGAACGCCACAAATGGTTCCTTCTTAGAACACCAAGAGATAGGTGTTTCTTCATACATAAAGATGAATCCAACAGTGGATTTTCTATCATCTTTATTTTCACACCATTTTGATTCGGCATAACTGAGCAATTCGTAACTTTTACCTCTGTTTGTTGCGGGAAACAGAATTCCGCAACCAATCAAACATTTGACATAACTGAGCAATTCATAATTTTTACTTCTTTTTTGGATTTGTGAAACTCAATGCCAAAGAAATATGTCATGAGACCAAGGTCAGTCATCTCAAACTCCTTCATTAGATTAGTCTTGAATTCGGTAATATAGCCTTCATTGCTACCCGTAATAAGTAAATAATCAACGTAGAGACATAAGATGATTACTCTTTTAGTTGTATCCTTCTTCACATACACATCATGTTTGAATACACATTTATCAAATCTTATCTCTTTTAGAAACCCATTAATTCTCTTGTTTCAAGCTCTTGGTACTTGCTTCAGCCCATACAACACCTTGAAATATCGCTGGCATGCCTCTTTGCCTTGTTGATCTTCTCGCATTTTCTTCCACTTGGAGTTCACCAAATGTAGTTTTTGGCGTTCTAAACACTGCAGGAAGAGTTCCGGCATTGTGGTAACCAATTACAATTGGCTGGCAATCGGTTATAACCTGCTTCCAATCTCATGCTTCATCAAAAATCTCGTACATATTGATTACAGTTTTCTTGTTTACTGCATCATAAAGTTTGTAACCATTTTTTGAGTGATACCCAATAAGTATCATTTGATCTCCCTTGTTATCTAGCTTTTTTCTATGCTAATTTGGAACATGTTTATACGCCACCAAACCAAACATCCTCAAGTGACTCATACTTGGTTTGAATCTAGACCATGATTATTTAGGTGTGATGTTTTTCATATTCTTTTTTGGACACCTATTCAACAAATATGTCGTTGTGGACACCGTCTCTCCCCACGATTCTTTTGGCAATTGCTTCCCTTTTGACATACTTCTTACCATGTTCGTAATTATTCGATTCTTTCTCTAGAAGACTCCATTTTATTGATACGTATAGGGTGACACTACCTCATGTACAATGCCCTTTTTATCACAAATTTCCAAAAATAATTTGAGACATATTCACTTCCACCATTTGTTTTAGAGTTTTAATTTTGTGACCACTTTGTCTTTCTACGATGGATTTAAACTTGAACACTTAAGGCACCTCATCTTTTTCTTTTGAACACTTATTGCCTCTAGTTGAGTAAACTTGCATAGGTCTACAAACATCAGAATACACCACCTAAAGATGACAATTGGTTATACATCCCGCATATTTGCTAAATTTGCCTCTGTGTAGCTTGGTTTACACATACTTTTCACATACTTTAGTTGGCACATTGATCAACAAAAGCATAGTAACCATGTTATTTTTCTGCATAAAATTGAGATCTCTGAAATTCAAATACCCAAGCCTATAATGCAAAATCAATTCCTCCCTACTATATGCGGTTGCATGACATTTATGCTCCATTTCTTTCAACTCAACCTTGAAGGTTCTGTTATGAGCCATATGGTCATTCAGGATCAAACTTCCATTTGCATCCATAACTTTCACCACTTTATGTCCACATGAATCTTGTAATTCCTTTAAAGCAATTGACAATTACTCAAAAATTACACGTGATTCCAAGAATATACAACACATTTTTAATAAAGGAATGATCAACATTTTTCCTCTTGATACATCACAAATCCCTCTATTGCTAGTGTGCTATTATATGTGAATTTCACCTTACTTTTCACAGAAATTTCTACAAACTAGTCCTTCCTTCCTGTCAAGTGAGTTGAACACTCAAAGTTAAGGTACCATGAATCGCTACATTTTTCATCTTCTCATATAGTACCATCACATTTTCAATTGATGGTAACTGGTTATTGTAAGTTTGTAACCGATTACATTTACATTTTTCCACATCTGGTAATTGGTTACCACTGCTCTCTGTGTTATTTTCTGCTTCAGTGGTCACCATTGATAGCGTGCTCTCATCATCATCCTTTTGCCTTGCAAACTTTGCTTCAGTTTCTTATGAATCTTTCTCGTTCTCATTACATTCACTAGCAAAATGTCCAAGCTTTTGACAATTGCAGCATTGAACATTGCTCTTATAATGATTTTTCCTTCCTCATTTTCCTCTATTGTTGCTACATTGGTAATTGCTTAATCCATCACATATGTTGTAGCTACTTTCACCTTTTTGGAATGTTGAATTGTTGGAATTTTGGGAGTACCTTCCATCATTGTTCTGATAGTTTCCTCCACCTCTATTCACTGTCCACTTTTCCTCCACCTTCTTGTCTCTTTCGACAAAACGGGTCTGCAGTGCCATTTCAGCTTTTTCTTTGTCAGCATTCCACTTCTCAATTCTGTGCTCATAAGCCTTAAGAGAAATTTGCGACTCTTATTTGCTCAGGGTTGAAACATCCCCGGTCTCTTCAATTTCAACCACTACATTATCGAATCTTGATGTTAAAGATCTCAAGATTTTACTAACCAGATATTGCTCAGTGATTTTCTCTCCACAAGCCTTCACTTGATTCACCAATCTTGTGATTCTTGTAGTGAATTCACTAATGATCTCCTTATTTTCCATCTGAATCAATTCCAGACGCCTCTTGTGAGTTTGTAACCTCACCACCTTTGCCTTATCAACTCATGCATAACTTTTCTCTAGAATTTCTCAAGCTTCCTTTGAGGATGTACAATCACCAACCTTCTCAAAGTGATCAACATCAACATATTGAAAAATGAGATACATAACTTTTAAATCTTATGTCTTCTCTTCCTTATTCGGAGTCCTTTGTGCAGTTGTTGCATCTTCTACAAGTAGATTAATACCATTCTTGATCACTTTAAAAACATCTTTTATAAAATATTTTTTTATATTTTTAAACAACACAATTCATCCCATCTTGTGTTGATGTCACTTGATCAATAGATTACTCTTGTCATGGAACATGTCCCCATAGTGTTGAGTGGTATCAATACAATGAGAATCTAGATCGAGGCCCTGAGTGTGCATCTTTGTCCCCATTGTCTCAATGTCTGCTATCTCCAGGTCGGCCATTTTCTATGTTCATTGACCTTTTATTTCTTTCTAATTATTCATCCAGTAGCTTATCCTCATAATTGATATAGTGTTAGACTCGAGTGAGGATGTCTCTCATGCTTCTTATGCACTTTAGCTTTACCTTTTCACGAAATACACAATATCTCCTTAATTCTTTTTAGATGGAGTTATTATTTCCTAATCCAAGACAATTTTTGGGGCAAGTTATCATTCCTTTTGAGCACAAAGTTGGTCGTTTAGA